CTAACACAAGTCTTTCACTTGTCCACAGAAGCAGTCCAACCGTTTCCTTAGAAACTATAACTGGTCAAATACACGTAACTTTGTCCTCATGGTCCTCACCATCTAAATTAAGGGAAGCCCTTTGGGGATCTTTGAAGATCCTTAAAGATTTTGTAAGGTTTTCAACAAGGATTTAGTGGTGACCCAATTAAATGCCCCTCTTTAATTGGCATTTAATAAATAAACTCTCAACTTTTTGATGTACTTAATTTTGTGCTTTTTGTATTACCTTTATCCAAGAATGCATCTCATGGAAACAAGAGAGTTGTGAAGGAGGTGGAGCTGATAGACGGATAGGACACACAATCACCTATGACACAGAAAAGAAAGTTTTGTATGTCTATGGAGGATCAAAGACAAAAAGATGGTTCAGTGATGTCAACATTCTAGACCTTCAAACAAATACCTGGTCAGCTGTCAAGGTTTGTTAATTTAATAATATATAGATTTAGCTGAGCCTAAAACTGGAGCTCCTGATTACAATAAATTAACATGGCTTGAGCCTGCAATTCAATTACAGGGCTCAACACTAACTTTTCAACTTACTAGCCTAGTGGCTAGTGATAACTTAGATGTTACTAGCCAAAAAAAATGTTTTTACTAGCCAAGTGTTGAGGTTGGCTACCTTACTACACGAAATTTTCGCGACATGTTTATTTCATGGTTTGGGGGTGTGTATATTTTGTGACACTTAAATTCCACAATTTTGCAAAATTTTGTGTATTTTGAATCACTGTAACTTCTCCTTTGTGCGTAACACACAATTTATTTGCTTGGCAATGTTACTTGAACATGTCCTTGAATTTAGTAAACTGACTTTATCAAAGTACAATAACGTCAAAAGTAACAAAAACGCAATGGCGGGACTATATGTCAACAGTAACATGATGTGTTCTGTTCCCAACACTAACTCTTCGCGTCACTTTAAATTTGCAATTTTTTTAAGACGTGAAATTCACGAAATTAACTGGTCGCGAAAATTTTATGTAACAAGGTAAGTCCAACAAAGAGCAGAATTACTAGCAAGACTTGAAAGCAAAATGCAAGCATTTCTCTTTAATACACAATGTTGGTAACTACATTGAACTTAAACTAGTTCCAATAAAGTTAATTCCAGTTCCTGAAAAGACTTTCAAGACTCTGTTTTTCTTTGAGACTTCCTTGGAAGAATATAGAGACCCTGAGACGTCATTGTAAAAACTATTGAGACTTCTTCACAGACTGACAGGCACCGTAGAAAGCAAAACAGCTATTTGAACAATACTGCAAACTATCGTTGGTGAAATTTGACCGCTAAAAACAACTGATTTAAATGTCGAAGGAAATAAATCTTTCTCATCTAATTATTTCTGTAATGGTAAGTTTGTAAGTATGCATGCCATGACAGATCACCCATGTATCGTTACTATATAAATAAAATGTTATCCCTTTACAGTTCCACACAGTTTTGCAAATGATTTTATCAGGAAGCTTGAGTTTTGTTCCACTTATTCAAACAAAAAAGAACATTGACGTGTTCTTTCAGAAAATGCTGTCTTGTTTGTCAAGTATTTCTTTCAACATAGTAACATCTTCAGTTATCTGTTTATGTACCACACAGCCAAAAGTAAACAAACTTAAATTTGCATACGTGCTGAACAACACATGCCTGGTCACATGGTACATGTATGTCCACAATGAAATTCTGATCTTGTTTCCGAGAAAAGGGTTTGTTTTTCTTGAGAAAAACTAGTTCGGCCAATTTCATTTTGTTTACTAGCAAAAGTGGCTAGTGGAAATCGAAAACGTACTAGCCAAAACTAAATTTCTACTAGTCTGTGGCTAGTTGGCTACCGTTAGTGTTGAGCCCTGAATTGAAAACCAGTACCTGGTCAGCGGTCAATTTGAAAAACAAGAGTGGCCTTGATGAGCTCCAAATCTGAGCCTGCAATATGGTCATGTGATACTGGTCGGTGGTTACCTTGTTTTGACAGGTGTCAATTGATCAAATATGTACGCTGTAAACCAAGGCTGCATGGCTTGGTTGACCTATTTGCAGGAGTATGGCCACCATATTGAGCAATGTTGTCATTGGTTTTGTCATCATAGGGCACATATGCCCACAATCAATGCCGCTAGCCATGTCGACCATGGTTTTCTATCTCTATGCATGCATGTGGTTCGGTTCAGTTATGGTGCTTCATTTGGCGGCCCTTCGGGCTGCCTGAGCTCAGCTATTAGACTCAATTTAAGGGTTAATGTTAGGCCGGGTTAATGTTGTTCCTCGCTGAATTAGTAAGATTTACGTTAACACTATTTGGTCTCTGCTATTGACCCTCATTCTTCAAATAGGATGTACAGGTGCACACTGTGTTATGTCTCATTTCATTTGCAGGCTGTCGGCCATGCACCAACCAGAGCATATCACAGCTGTAACTTGTTCAATGGAGAGCTCCTGGTGTTTGGAGGAGTGTTCCCTAACCCTGATCCACAGCCTGATGGCTGCAGTAATGAACTTTACATCTTTAACACTTCGGCAAAGAATTGGTACAAACCCATCACAAGTGGGACCCTGCCCAAGCCCAAATCAGGGTATTTGACTTATTGTTTTACTCAGTCTGAGTAAATGCTTATAAAGTACATTTGAAAGAGAAACTTCTTGAGAGTGATATTATTGTAGCTTTAAATTAAAGTCAATTTTACTTATTGTTACTTATTTTTTCCAAAAAATGTTATTGCCATGGCATTTATTAAACATCCGTTTCAATCTTTTAGAGAGAAAGGCGTTATTTTAGAAGTTTCCACTTAAGTATGTACCAATGATGGAATGGTGAAGACAGCAAGGTGTGATGTATTGCTAGCTACCTCAAGTCACTTTGGCCTCATCTTCTTACATTTTCCTCAGTTGCAGAGCCAGACCTCTTTATAAAGTGGTGTCCAAAACATTTTCAGTCCATTGGGCTTTGACTATTTTCACCCACGTAGGAGGGAGGAGCCCTCAGATCCCTACCCAAACTAGATCTGCTACTTTTCCTAATTGGTTATTTTTTGTTTCTTTTGGTTAAATTAATGCCAGTACTGATCAGTCTGTGATTAAAGACCAACTAAAGGTTGCTACATTATAAATAATTTGATTTTTCTCCAACTTAATTTGTAGTCACTCGGCATCCTTGTTAGGAGACAGATTAGTCATATTTGGAGGCTGGGATTTTCCACAGTGTTTCAATGATGTTACTATTATAGATTTAGGTAAGTCTCATGAAGGTTCTTATGAAGGTTCAGAACTTTGATTTAGTGGAAACTTTAGAGGCAGCATGGCCTAGCGGTTAGGGC